TCCTTAATTAAAAGGCGGGTGTAACCAGTCCACCTCTGCCAATTTTTGCCTCAACAGAATGGACAAAAATAGCCAAGAAAACAATCCTCGACAACACAAAGAACCCCTATAAATCGGGTGCCCTTTAAAAACCCACAATAAAAGGGAGGCCATATTAAAATTAGCCCTCCTCTAGACCCTAAACACCCACTAATGACAAGGTAAATTCCACCTAACATAAGAAACTATAAGACTACTATCAAAACATCATTAACTGCAAGGTTTCAGGCGACCTTTCACCGGAATTGGCTGCCGGCAAAGGTCTGACCAAATGACCAGCTTGCCGGAGCAACATTGTTAGAAACCATTGTACGGCCGTCGCTGGCGGTGACCTTAAACGAGAGGCTTTGACCGTTGAGATAGCTGTTGCTCTGCCAGTTTTGGCCCCAGTTTCTCGACATAGGCTGCCAACCGGTTCTCGAACCCTTTATCGACACTGCATGCACATCACCGGCTCCACCGACATTGGTTATGAGTACTAAGTTGAAGTACGAGTGGCCATTAATGGTGAACCTTATGCCTCCCCTTCTTCTGCAGGGTACCCTACAAATTAAAGTAACAATTAGTAACATACTTCAAATGTGGACCAATCTAGCACCAAAACAGTTGCCATCAATTATTGTGCCAATAGAAATACTCCCATCAGTAAATATTCATTTATGAACCAAGGACCACAAGAATAAATGTTGAAACAAACTTTAGCATGTGGGTGCAGTAAAAATAACATGCAATCTTCCTAACAAATATCGACAAGACTTGAATTCACGACGTCTTATACGAAATTTAATGCAAAAAAGACGGTAATTAATCATACCTTCTGTAAGCAACTGGGACAATTCCAGCTCTGTATTGTGCAATGTGTTGAAAAACAGGCTGAGAGAGGTCGAAGTGGTGCTGTGGAGGGTTGCACCAACCTCCTGCATTGTTTGGGAGTGCATTATTTGGTGGACAGAAATTGGTGGCGGTGACCACAATGGAACCAGGCAGGCACCATTGCCTCTCATTAACACACCTAATCTCAAAACAAGACCCACAGCTCAACCCGCTGTTGAACAGAGCTGTGCTTAAAGCTGCAGTGTTTGTACCATAACCCTGGCTGTACAAATTTCCATAGCCACAAGCCCCACCTGCAAAAGTTTTGCCAATAGAAAAGTGTGG